CTGCAATGGTGCTGAATTAAGGATAGCAAGCACAAATAACAGACTGCCGACGAAGAGTTCAACTCCCATCACAGGCAGGTCAGGACATTTTTGTCCTGGTGCTGCCATATGTGTCAAGGAGCCTTAACACTGATTTTACACATTTATGTGACTTACAAAATACATGACCCTGAACCATGTGTTATGGGAAAATAATGACATCTCTGGGTTTTAGCGAATGATGTAAACTTGATCTTAAAGGGACACTCCACTGCCCAATTACAAAAAACTCACTATTTAGTAGATTTAACCCCAATGAATCGTACATGCATTTAATTGTGCATTTTTTCATTGGGGGTATGTCTAAAAACAGCTGGTGGCAAACGCTGCAGTTTTTTCAGCCTTTGCAAGTCCTCCCCTTCTAACCCCGCCCTGACTTTCTGTGGCTGTCCAATCACAGACTTCCCAATGCAGCTCTTTGCAAGGCAGGTGGTCTGGTCAATTGAGAGGTCTTTGCAAGGCAGGTGGTCTGGTCAATTGCTGCCACTTGTGTTTTTCTTCACTAAGCTAAACAACCAAGAAGTAACAGGACCAGTTGTCTGACACCCAGGATTAGTTTATAAAAGTGCCAATTTCTATTAGATGTGCACTTTTTATAACATGGGGGGAAAAAATCAATTCAGCAAGCTGAAGTGCTCTTGGGATCTGGAGTGTCCCTTTAAGTCATTTTGTTTATTATGTTTCCAGAATTCATCAATGGCATTATTTTCCCTGTAATTCATGCTTCACTGTTATGATTTGTATATGTGTATCTTGAATCACCCTCCTTTTGTGCCCTGTTGGTTCGCCTTTGGTCACCGAGTTGTCCTACATAGGGTTACTGGAAAATGATATATACACAGGATTGTATTATCCCACCAGACTGACTGAGTCCATAATGTGTTCCTTCTGAGCATTTCCACGTGGCTGGCTTTTACCAGCAAGATCACCTTCGCTAACAGCTACCCACTTTAATCTACACAGAGATAAGTCCTCGTCCTGTAGCATGGCACCAATATTACCTTTAACTTCTGTCCTTTGATCTCCAACAGACAGTAATCTGCTTCTAAGGGATTTAGATGTCTTAAACGTCATCTGTATTTGGAATCCCAAGGTTCACAACCCCTTGAGCTGTTCTTGTACGATACATACCACCACAATGGCCTGTTTGGGCAGGTCTTACATATGTGCCGAATTTAAACACACATGCTATATGTTGAAGTTATACACCTACGTTTGTAAGTGCCATGTGGTGTTTTCTCCAAGTACACCCAATCATCTTCCCATTACACCGTGTTCTCAAATCACCATTCTGTGTGGGTTAATGCAGTCCTGAGTGAAAGATCTATTAGTAAAAGCTTTATCTTTCTAACTCCTAACTTTTTCTCTTGCTCCTTGCATGCGCTAATAAAGGCTGGTGGACTTTTCACCAAACTATGTGTTTTATCTTATTAGCAAACCACAAAAGCTGGCTACGAATTTACTGGTCTTGTTCTGCCGACCTTATAGTTTGAGCAGCACCCTCCCACCTTGATGATGGGTGTGAGTTATTTGTATGCTGGCCAGGTAGTGGTGTGGTTAGTTGGTGGAAGCCATGTATCCCAGCATCCTGCAGTCTCCAATACATTGTATGAATAATATATAATAAGGTTATTTTGGCGCAGGCCCTTCAATGGTGGCGTCAGATTAATTTCTTGCTGGTGTAATGGTTGGATAAGACCAGTGTCTTCATGCTAGGCTTGTGTTGTGTAAATATAGTCTCATACCTTTAAAATGTGTTAAACTTATGGTGAGAATTTGAATCCAAAATACCTTCTTGGAAACACAACTTCCTAAACTCAGATACACAGGACTAAATAATCAGCTAAATTTGTAGACTTTTAAATTTCAGAAAATCTTAATATTTTCATGCTAAACAATTTATCTAGGATGGAGAAGAGACAGTGTACCTGTTTTTTTTTTGTTTGGGAGCTGGATGAAGACCTTTATCATTGAGTGTGTTTTAATGACTCGTTTTGTTTTTTCCCCCCTCAGTCTTCGTAATACAGTTCTGCCCTCTTGTGGAAGCTTCGAGAGCCTGAGTAATGTCACAATGGAATCCCAGAAGCAGCCACAGGAAACGGCTCCACCTAACCATGACCAATTAAGCTCTGAATCCAACAATCCTTTGGGACTTATTACTCTTTTGAAGGAACGTGGTATATCTGCCACTTGTGGTCCCAGCAAGAAAAACCTGGGTGGTGAAACTGAACCACCAACTCCAAGTGCCCGCCCAGGAATATTTGCATTAGGTTGGGGCAGGACTTTAAATAGATTGGGTTTTGGCAGGACCATTATGGACAGTGGAGTTGTGAACAGGACCTCAGACAATGTTCAGTCGCAAAGCAGCATCTTCAGCATCAATTTGGTGGGCCAGCTGAGAAGGCTTGGGTTGAATCAGGTGGTAGAAAGAGGCATAGTTTCATTTCAAAAGACTACAGAAACCACAAACCCTCAGCACTAGCTCCAAACCATCAGACTGGTCAGGTCAAGTAGCAAAAAATGTATGAAACACTTTTTTTTTTTTTTTTCTGTGTGACAGAAGTCCACCGTGCACAAAGTGGACATTTGTTGGCATGCTCTTCAAAAATGACAACATGTCTGAAGAAGACGGATTCCAAAATAGAATTTTAAAATGAACATGCAACTTTTAAAGAACTATGGTCAATGAGTCATGTTTCTGTTGCCAAACAATTGTTGGTTACATAGTTTATCGACCACTCCTAAAGCATTGCAAAACATGACTTCTTGTATTTGTGTAGCATCTCGACACCTAGTGTAATATCATGGGTATAGCAGGTCATCCAGATAAATAGGACCCAGTAAAACTCAAATTGGATTTGTAAAGCTGGCTAAACATGTTTAAAATATCCAAGTAACATATCACTGAAAACCATTGGCACTCTCCCTCTGCTGGCAGAGTCTTAGCAAAATTATCATTTCATCATGACTTTCCCTATGCATATTGTGCACATTGTCTTTTTACCTACATTTACATTTGTGTTTTTATACAGCTATGCATTCTGTCTTGGGGTTCAAACTCCTTTTACATCACTTGCTTTGCATGTCCTGGTTCCACAGGTTAAAAACAAAACCTTATATGGAGATTTTCTTAAATCAGGAATAATATGTTTTAACCCTTTAAGGACACATGACGGAAATATTCCGTCATGATTACCTTTTATTCCAGATGTTGTGTCCGTAACCCCTTAAGGACCAAACTTCTGGAATAAAAGGGAATCATGACATGTCACACATGTCATGTGTCCTTAAGGGGTTAAAGACATATGGGCCGAATGGTTCTTTTCTGCCGTCACATTCTATGTTTCTATGACACTAAGCCTACCTGCATTGTCACCCAGGTGAGCTGGGCATTAGAGAAAGCTTTGCTCTGTAAGTTAGCTATTAGTAGTAAGCTTACTATTTTGCTTCGGACTGTGCTGCTTTTTAATGATATATGCAAGCGTGTTTCGGGGTACAAATGTACAAATAGATGCTGTAAATAGGCAAACACACCATGCAGGATTTCAATAAATGGATATTTCCAGCAAAAGGGTCTATCTGTACAGACAAGTACAGTGCCTCAAAATAAATGTATTGCTCTACAATATTTTTACATTTGGCTTGTTGCTACCTAACCGTTTAACTACTTGCATCAGAGCACTATGTTCTGGGGAGTGCCGTGTGTGTGCGCAAAGTTGTGCAGTGATGAATGCAGAAGAACCTGTGAGTAGGTCAATTTTCAGTAGTTTCATCCGATGGCAGCATCAACTTTCTTTCTGGGTTATTCATCAAGTCTGATATTGTTGGAAATTTACCAGAGAATTTAGGCCAAATAGCACTTTCTGCCTAAAATGTTTATCTTTATCTTTCATTGTTGAAATGTCTCCGTTATCTTGGTCTTTGATGACTTACTACAAAGCAATATTACATTATTCTACATGGTGACCACAGCTTCTTGTCCCTCTGAGCTCAATAAAGTGATTACGGTAGGACTTAAATTACCTGGTTAAATAGCATATTGGCAATCTAAGCCATGCAAGACTGCCAGGCCCAAATCGGTCAGTCGGGGAGATCAGAGGATCTACTCAGCCAGCCCAAAGCACCACAGCACCTGGAAAGTAAGGGATTCTGTGGTCTGCACCTCCAGCGGGTGCAGAAACCACAGGGAACTCCCCTTCACAATCCTATGTTTCTCCATGATAAAGATTGTGGCTGTGGGCTACGATGGCAATACTGTCTCACTGGAAGCAGTGGCAGAGGGACGACACACACGTATGAGGTGCACATGGTAATTTGCAACCATTCAATGACCAGGGAACTCAAAGTACTCATATGGGGGCATAGAAACCCAAAAATAAAACTTTTTAAAATTAATATTCAACTCAGAAATTAAGATTCCCCACAACACAACTGTAAACACTTCCCCCACCACAATGCCCACACATAGACAAGGACATGTGTGTCTACTACTACTAAGAACCCACATTCACACATACAGCACACACATGCAAAATAGGCACCTCACACACCCACAAAATGCAACCCCCACTGCAAGCACATACCACAAACAGTCCACGTACACAAAATAGGACAGCGCCCACTTCAAACAAATTCTACAATCAACCCGCCTACGCAAACTTATCACAGACGGCCCACATACTTACAATACCACAGACAGCCATATACACAAATACCACAAAACTGCTCACGCACATACATAACAGGCAACCAGTGTTCATTTTGGCTGCAAATTTCAATTCAGTTTTAGTCATATTCATTTTAGTTTTAGTCTTATTTTAGTCATCTGAATTGTTTTAGTTTCAGTCCGCGAAATCTCCAGAAGTTGTTAGTCGACACAACAAAAATCTAATAGGTTTAATTAAAGCCTCTGTCTGTCTCTTTTGTCTCCCCCAGTCCCTCTATGTCTCTTTATGCCCTCCCAGCCCCTCGATGTGTCTCTCCCAAGCCCTGCTCCATCTCTTTTGCCCCTTCCACAGCCCCTCTGCGCAGTGTTAATTTTGGCGGCGCATTTCAATTTAGTTTTAGTCATAGTCTTTTGACTAAAATGCAGTTTTAGTCATATTTTAGTAATCTGAATTGTTTTAGTTAACTATATCTAAAAAAAAAAATTGTGGACTAAAACTGTCGACAAAATTAACACTGCAAGCAACACATAAAAACGTAACCATAAAAAAAGGCATATGCAACATTGCACACTGCATATACACTCACATAACACCACAGACATTCCACAGCCATGTACACAACCTCACAAAGTAGCCACTGCACCCATACACAAGTTCAGTTCCTCAATATACAAAAAGGTTTTAAACGTTAAGGTCTCTTTAACCCCTTAAGGACACATGACATGTGTGACATGTCATGATTCCCTTTTATTCCAGAAGTTTGGTCCTTAAGGGGTTAATACCCTTTAGATATTAAAGTTAAAATCTACAGTGTAAGGCACTGACATATCCTGTGTTAATTCAGAGGGATATTGACATTTGTAGCTAAAATAGCAGAACGGAAACCACACAGGAGTTAGGAGAATTTTTCTAATCTAGTGGTTTTGGCAAAAACAATGAAATTCACTTTGAGTTCCTAACAATTCACACGTTTGTGGATAATCCCCTATCTCAGTTTTGCAGAGGTCATCAAAACACAAACATTTCCACAGAATCTTGGTCCGATATCATTTTATTTTAGAGTAGAAGAAAAAAGAAATGTATGTTGAAAATTACTGGATTTAGCTGTTAGTTTACGTAGTGGTATGTGGTATACTACACCCCATCCCCGTGCCTTGCAAGACCCGCTGGCAATTAAGAGGTTAAAATAACAAGCTATTTTTTTTCTCAGGCACAATTTTTAATATCACTACAAATATTCCAACATAGGGACAATCTTGGCAACCGTGAAATGTTAACATTTGGGTAAGAAAGATGGTAGAATTTTAAGAATCAGAGACTGTATCTTCGGAACTTCTGCGTCCAAAGTCCATCCAACCGGCGTAGTCACGGTCTTGCTTAGGCTGGAAATGACCTTCGGCAGTGAGAAGTTCTGTTGTAAAGCAGTAATGAAAGGAAAATCACTAATCACATGTAGTAAGCGCTACGGAATCTGTTGGCGCTATATAAATGGCAATAATAATAATAATAGTTGGACCAGCCAGTCACACAAATTTTAAATTCACCTTGAAATCTCACTATAGTGACTAAGCCTCAGGTCAAAACAGTTGAACTGGAAAAATCCTCTAAGTCATCTATGCTTTCAGTTCGATTACTCTGGCCTTAAATCGGAAATTCACTTTGAATTATCTTTAGTAACATAACCCTGACAGTGAGCTGGTAGTGGTAACACTGTCTAGTAGTAATATTGCCACAATTCTTTTTCACATCTGACAGATTATTTTTTTCCCTCCAATAAAAGAGCACTCGCACCATAAAATCTGCGCAGCCTATTGAAGTAGTTATGGTGCTATGAAACTATGGGTGGAGTCCATCTATTTTTTTTTGCCGGAAATCTGTGCTGGAGACATCCATTAGACTTGTCCATAGGGGCAGCGTCCCAACAGTTTTTATTGCAATAATAAAAATGTTTTTCAATTCCTTTTTTTTTTTTTTGCTTAACCACTTAAGGACACATGACATAAGGGGTTAAACTTTCACCTTTGAGATGTATTTTTGATCAAACGTGTTGTTTGTGTCTTTTTAAATTATTAGTACTGCAGTTTTTCTCATGCCAAATATTTGGCTGTTTGCCCCAAAAATCTGATTAAATCCCATGGGAAGCTGCGTGAATCACACTCGGCTGTCTAACTGACCCATTTCCCAGTACCAACTTATCGGGCAGCAAATATGCCGCCCTAAAAGACAGGCTTGCCTACCGTCCTGTCATTAGGTTTTCAGAAAACTTTCACTTGTGCAGCCATGAGGATAACTTTGTTGTGGTATGTGTGTGACTGTTCAATAATTTAACCCACAGTGTCCTGCTTTTGGCCCATTTCCTCTGAGAACTAACTGCGCTACGGTACCCGCTTCAGTCTGCCCCCAACAATGGCGGCAAGTACTGCTTTAACATAAGGTGCCTTCTGCCATATAGCAGTGTCTTTGTACTCCCCGGCGCCACCCCCTTGTGCACTCAAATGAGGTTTATATCTATTAAAGCAGGAACCGCTTGCACCATTGGGTGCCTGCCTTAATATGATGATAAGATGGCCCCTGCCTGCCCCGAGCCTAAAATGGAATCCATGTGGTGAAAGGCACCATTCCAACATTCTATCCCTATAGACTGTAAACTCGTTTGAGCAGGGTCCTCTTCAACCTATTGTTCCTGTAAGTTTTCTTGTAATTGTCCTATTTATAGTTAATCCCCCCTCTCATAATATTGTAAAGCGCTACGGAATCTGTTGGCGCTATATAAATGGCAATAATAATAATAACAGCATGTGCGCTAAATAAGTGTAATTTTAAATATATGTTGAATGTGAATTACTGCCAAAGAAAATCTAGTTATTCTTTGGTGACATCTTGTGGTTTAACTGTGTATTACATCACAAACAGTTAAAGGCACAACATTTTTTTCCTAACGCTATAGAGTCCCTCTGCCTCTGTGCAAAGCTTGAGGACGTCCTATGTCGTTTCACGGCGTAAACTCAGTGAAAATGCGGGAAGTGCCGCTGGTGGCTGTCTGGTAGACATGTGAATAAGAATTAAACCTTTTTTTTTTTTCATGTAAACTGTGTCTGTTGCAGCCAAGGGAGGAGTGGCTAGGCCTGCATTAACAGAAACAATAATGATTTCACTACTATTGTGCAGTGGGACTACAGGGGCATGATCGATACACCAAAACTGCTTAATTAAGCCATCGTTGTTTTGATGTCTATAGTATCCCTTTAACCCCTTAAGGACCAAACTTCTGGAATAAAAGGGAATCATTAACCCTTAAGGGGTTAACTGAGCAGTGTTCACAAAACCTTCATCACTTTATAAACTCCAATCTAATAATACTGCTAATTCTTTTGCATCAAATGACCCACCTAACAGCATACCTCCCAACTGTCCCTATTTAAGAGGGACAGTCCTTCTTTTGGACTAAATCCCTCTTTTCTATCCTAATGCCCTTCTTTTATTGGAGCTCCATATTGTTGGTGTGTCTGAGTGTACAACAGAGCTCCACAGCAATAATACTCTCAGTAACGTGTCTTTAAACGACAATAAATGTGTTTAGAAATCAGTCTGTGTAAATAAGATACATTGTTCTTGTTCTAAATTAAATTTTTGTGCATAAATCATTATTAGTAAGTCTCTTAAAATTTCTCAGAAACACTGGGCCCATGACCGCACTCCTAAAATTAAAGTGTCCCTCTGTCTATTTAAAATATTAGGAAGTGTGTAACTGGGATCCATGCATATCATAAACAATAGCAATGACAAAAAGAAGCATAGCATTTAAAAAACATCTAAATGGATCCTCCAAGAATGCTTTACTCATAACCCATAAACACATTTTACAAGATTAGGCACCATTTGCCAAAATGTTTTTATTGTGAAATAAATGTGTAGAAGATTCTGAATGGTTCTACGTGCCTTTTGTATGGATGTATTTTAGATTAACTGTGGAGATTGATACACCAGACCAAAAATAATTTATCATAACTCAAATAACTGTGTTATAAAGCAGGTGATCCCAAAAGGTAGATCCTCGGATTTTGTAGAACTGCAACGCCCATGATGCTTTGCATGTCTTTAGAATGACAAAGCATCGTAGAAATTGGAGTTTAAAAACATCTGGGCATCTACCTTTTGGGCACCCCTGGTGTAAAGGATTCTGCAGGGGTGCATTTTGATTTGCTTAGAATTTCAATCTTATTTTGATTCTTTTATGTCTATTGTTTATTATTTCTATGGTAACTCCACGTTTCATTTAAGGTATGTGTGTATATATAATATTTTATTATAATATATATTATAATATCAAATTTTACATGAAGGGGTATCTGGTGGGAAGGAATTGGAAAGTCTGCCATCTCGTGGTAATCTTTTAATAGCAAACTTCGTGTTTTACCTTACCTGAAAGTTGAGGGAAAAGTTGGGACATTATCTGCCTCTGTTCATGGGACAGAGACGCCATTAGATCCCGCCTGCTAAGTCCAGAACTGGAGGTCTTTGGGAGATCACTGTGCCTTGCAGATTCTAGTCGTTTCAGTGGCTTGCAGAGTGAAGCAGTGACTAGTATTGCTAGCAGTACACCGACACATACCTTCCTGTCCATATCTACAAAACAGACCAATTACAATAATCACCACAAGTGTCAACGGCTTATAAGCCTCTTAGAAAAATGTAGCTACATTAAATGCGAAAGATAATTGGAAATAAAGGGAGCATGTGTGCACAAATAAGAGACTGAAAGATGGATTAGCTCAACATAAATATCACACAATAATAATAAAAAAATAAAGAATATTGAATAAGACGCAAGACCGACACAGGAAGGGTATTCTATATACACGTTTGAGTTAAAAATAAAATCCGTGAATGAATATAATAAACTCAACCGCCACGTTTGTGGTGTGTAGAGGGTCACTAAGTCCACCCTTCACTCTGTGAGTGGCTTAGAACTGCAGTGATTTGTAAGAATATGTCAAACAGCTCAGTCCCCGTGCACGGCTGCCTGATAAATTATTTGCCTCCTGGGCTAAAGAGCCGAGCCACAGACCACGCTTTTTGATCGCATGGTTCTGCCAATTGGCTGTTTTATAGCTGCTGTCAGTCTACAGTACAAAACGAGAAGAAAAAAAAAATAGTTGGCTCTCAAGCTTGTTAGATTAGTTTTATGTTGTTGGCACATACAGAGTGCTGATTGGTGGCAAATTGTCAAAAGGCTCTAACAAGTGATCATGCCAGAATTGGTTCTCCTGACCAACTGGAATTTTGACCATAACAACATCAGGAGGGGATTTTTTGTTACCCCAGTGAGGAGGAGTATTTTCCAATAAAACCCAACGTTGGAGATTTAGAGAAATCAACTACTCGTCTTCTAAATATTCTTTTATTTTTATTTTTTATACCCACTTCCCTCCTCCCTCTATAACCTTTTAAAAAAATTAACACTCGATACCCCTGCCACCTGTTCTAAAAATTCATTCCACCACCCACAGTACTTTTTCAGTACAGTCTAATTTAGTTATTCACTAAAGTAAGAATTGTTAGGAACTCAATGTGCATTTAAAGTTTAAGGCCAAAGTAGCTGAGCTGGTAGCACAGCTGACTGAGGATTTTTCCAACTCGGCTATTTTGGTCTAAAATGTGAAATTCACGTTGAATTCCCACTCTGGTGAATAACCCGGTTTATCTCAGGGCTATTGAGCAATCTTACCTAGTGATGCCTTCGGGGGATATTTTGTTCCCCCCATCCTGTCCTGCAACCCCCTCCCATCATACCTGCTGTGATCCTCAGAGTAGGTCTTGATGTCTCTGCAGGTCAAGGATGCTCTGTGTCTCCCTGCAGCATGTTGGCTCTTTATATAATGGGCATTGCTGTATGTTTCCTCCTACGAATATTCTTCACCCACCAAACCCCTCCCAACATCTTGTGCCCATGATGTCAATGCACTGCCTTTCCTGCCGTATATGTACATTAAATCTAAGTCTGATATCCGATTCTTGCAGAACAATGAGACGATGCACATGTCACAGATACACAAATTGTCATTTCATTACTTGATATATTTATACGTGTGTGTGTTGGATCTGTTAGAGCTCAAGTAATATCTGTAAGTCTCACATATTTTATTTGATTGAATTATTCATCTAAAAGCAGATAAAAGAAAAATCTCTGCTTTTATATATATATATATATATATATATATTTACCCCCTCACTAGAAAGTTACTTTTAATTACAAAAAGAAAAGATTTATTCGAAAACAAGAGATACCTAACATATAGGTACATATAGATATAGCTAACCTATAAAAAAAATTTTTTAAAACAACAGCAAAGATCTAAAAGGTTCCGTATGGATTGCGAAAAAAAGGAATACAAATTCACAGATACACACTTATCCACAAATATACAAAGCCACAAAAAAAAAAAAAAAAGAATGTGGTTCTAATAAAGATTAACTTTTTAACATTTCTGCGCACCTTCCAAACTGAATAAATTAAAGAAAGAAGAAAAGTGCTGGTATTATCTCCCTAACCCAGTGGTAGGTAACCTTAGGCACTCAAAATGGTGTGGACTACACCTCCCATAAGGCATCTACAGCCATAATGCTGGCAAAGCATCATGGGAGATGTGGTCCACAACATCTGGAGTGCCGAAGGTTGCCTAACTCTGTGACATGTCCACATCCTGACAGAGGTTTAACCCCTTAAGGACACATGACGTTTTACATGTCATGATTCCCTTTTATTCCAGAAGTTTGGTCCTTAAGGGGTTAAGGACAGTGGGGAAGATTGATCAAAGTGTCTCCAACACTTTTCCGTCCAATTTTCGTGCATTTTTGGCGTAACTGATTAAATCTGTTGGAATTTGTCCTAATTTTCTTTCTTCATCCTGTCATTTTTGAATATGCACCTTTTTAATTTTTTTAATTTGCAAATGCAACAGGTTCATGAGTACATCCACCACTTTCTCCGATGGAAAAGTGGTAACCACTATGAATTTGTCGGCCTTTTTAAAATGGACATTTTTGCGAAAACTGGCAAAATTTCCTATAAAGAAAAACGGACACGTTTTAGGCTGCCAGTTTCATAAACATGATCAAAATAACGACAGAATTTAACCCTCACTTTTCAGAACACTTTGATAAGTATTCACAGTTTCTGGATTTACATTGATTGAGGTAAGAAGGTAAATAACAATGATGGACACTTGGATAATGTCTGTATCAATCCTTAATTCAAAGTGGCGCTTAATTGGACGAAGAGAAGACTAAAAAAAGGTAGAGATGAGGCTCTATTGGGGTGAAAACAATGAGCAATATCTTACATTTGAATATACCAAATGTGGCTCTTATTTGAACAACTCAAAAACGTCCACCTCATGTGAGCTTCCTTATGGCAATTGAAACCCTATGGCACCTGTATAGGTAAGACATTGATTTACAGGTTGAAGGACGGACCTCTAGACAGTAAATAGTGGCACAGAAGCTGGACTAGAGCCCAAAGGAACAAGACTGGAAATGTAGTTGGTAAATATGGCCAGGATATGTATCACAGGTTTATGATTGGTATTCGTAATCAATGGTTCCGGTCTGGTAACACAGGTTTGGAGTACCGTAGCGTAGCGTAGATCGATAAATAAAAAGGTCAGAAAGCCACAAAATTTTATACAAGAAATGTAGGAACACAGAGAAAAACGTGGACCGGAGCTCTATACTAACAGAGCATTGAAGAGTCTGGTAGCGTTTACTAGGTGAGGAAGATGCACACTCAATGGGAAGGGGGTGCAGCACAATCTGTACAGGATTACAGCCCATCATCATTAGTAGAGTCACATTCAGAGGTGTTGCTTGGCTGGAAAAAGGTAAATGTATGGAACCTTTTACCCCATGTTTAGTTATTATAGAAAACTATACCTCTTATATGTTAAATCATGATACAATTAGCACATCATTTGTAACTGTATAACCAAGATAACCATTAGAAGGGATTATTTCTCTCTCAATATTATAAATTATAATATTGAGAGAAATTAATACCCCTCCCCTCTTTTCCCCCTCAATTTGACTAAGAGCGCTCTGATTGATTGGTATTATTGGTATTTCGTTTCTTGTCACTGAGGGCCCCCAACCGCCGCTCATGGGTAGGGACTGGTGGGGGAAAGAGGAAACAGTAAGTCCCCCCCCCGCCGCCTATCGGTGGGTGCCGATGCGGGGAAGAATATAGGTGTGTCCCTCTTTTGTTATTTTTGGCCCCCACCCTCCGCTCATGGGTGGGGCTCGCGGGGGAGACAATAGGTCCCCCCCCTTTGTTACTTTTGGCCCCCACACACCACTCATGGGTGGTGGCCGGAGATGGGGAAACAATAGGTCCCCCCTCCTTTTGTTACTGTTAGCCTCCACCTGCTGCTCAAGGGTGGGCTCCGGGGGGGAGACAATAGGTGTCCCCCCTTTTTGTTACTTTTGGCCCCCACCCGCCGCTCCTGGGTGGGGGAGGCAGTATGTCCCTTCTCTTTTGTTATTTAGGGCCCCCACCCACAATCATGGGTGGAGTCCGGGAGGGGGAGACAAAAGGTCCACCCCCTTTGTTACTTTTGGCCCCCACCCGCCACTCATGGGTGGGGGCCAGTAGTATGCCCCCCTCTTTCTGTTATTTAGGGTCTACGCCCGCTGATCATGGGTGGGGACCGTTCCTTTGAATAGAGGTACTTGTGGGGGCTGGGGGAGGGCACTATGTCTTCCCCTGTTAATTATTTTAGTAGATGCCCCACCATGGGGGTCCTGTGCTAGGTCCCCCTTTATTTGATTCTGGGAGTCGGGGCTTTTTTTTGTAGACATGTTTAGTAGACATTAAGCTTCCTTATGCTAATATAGGGGTCATATTGACCCTCATAGAATGACGGGGTGCATAGGGGGAGCTACTAATTTCACATATTTCAAGGAGGGAGCTGCGAGCCAGTAGCGCCCTCCTTGTAGAAAACTAAACATACGAAGAGGTCTTCCTTCATTCGTTTGAAATTTCTATTCATTCATTCGTCTTTAGACGAAAGAATAGACAAAATTCCCATCCGAATTTCAGAGAATAGCGAATAGCCCATGTGTTTAACTGGGCATGCGCGGGAATTTCACAGCGCTATCTAGTGTGGGCAGATGACGTGTCCTACAGAGCATTTATCTGCCCACACAAAGATGGTGGCGCCCAGGACCTAGGTCTGGGCACAAAATAATGTTTTAAAAAAGGCAATATGTGGGACCTAAGGGCATTTGGGGATAACTAGTTGGGCAATTAGCCGGAAGTCATGTTACCTTGAAGTATTAAGGAAGTTTGGTAATGGGACTGAAATACTGACTGTATCTATGGTGTTCTACAACTACCTACAGTAGACTTCTGCAGGGTGGAAATAATTTGGTTCAGACAAATCAATTCAGCTGAACAGAATTTTTTTTTCAAATTTATTTTCAAATTTACCAAATTTACCAAATTTTGTGGATGTGGCAGTTTGTATTGTCTCAATATCGTCCATGAAAATGATATGGGAAAACATCTTCGGATGAACCAAAAGGCAAACGAAAGCAGAACGTGGGCGCAGCATGGATGCATTGGAGGTGAGGAACACTCCCAAAGATGAGGACATGGTCGCGTGGGACCAGAGTTGAAGTGAGTTTAGATCTAAATATTTTACATTGAATGCATTGTGTATCTCTGTGATAAATGATGTATTCAATGCATGGGGGGAAGGAGTGGATTTATATAACAGTGTACCTGTCTGACAGCAAGTAAAATTGACTTTTAATGTATATTTCTAATGTATAAGTACAACGTAATATAGAAGGATTTACATACCTCCTAAATTCGGTGTCTTGTGAAGCTGGACGCCGGTGGGAGAGGTAATAGAGGCGGACCAATGGCATGATTTGTGCCACTGACTACACCCACACTAATTTAACACACACACCAATTTACATACTCTAGTTAATCAGTCCCCCTTATCACCAGATGGACCATGCCTGTGCTACCTGTGATTGGAGGAGCAGGGAACCTGTCTGTAGGAGAAGGTGTCCCTGGTGTCTGAAGGTGTGGGGTGGGGGGCACCGGCTACTTCCTGCTCCCTTTGGAGAGGGCAGCACGGTGTTGTGCTCGGCTACTTGGTTTACAGTAATGCATTTACCGAGCAGTTGCTTGTCGGCGCCAAGGCAGAGGGCACCCAGCATTGGAGATCACTGCGCTAGGGGGCGGCTAAGGAGCCACTCACCCACTGCATCTGCCCCCTGACAGGAGCGGCCCACTGATAAATGTCCTAGTTTTCAAATGGACTTGTTTGGCCCTGGGCTTAGCTCAGGAAAATGAATGGAGGCTCCTAGACAAGAGTTTCCATCCAAGAGGAGGCAGTGAGTGGCATCTGGAAGAACCCAAGCTTGCTGTAGTTGTTATGGTGCTTGGAGCGTTCTTGGTAATAATTATACACGGACCAGTGGCGGATCCAGAGCCTGATCTCGGGAGGGGCACTTGTAGATTATTTAAAGAAATAAACCAGGCACAATAACCACTAAAGCTCAGTGTAGTAGTTATGGTGCCAGTAGTGCCAGGATCCCATCCCAGAGTAAGTAGTCAAACCGTTTAAGAACAGTTTGACAACTTATCTGGGGTCTGCTGGGATATAGGGCATAGGAGCAGTGGTATGTGTGAGGGGTGAAGTGTGTGTGTTTGTGTGTGTGAGTGCGGCAGTGTATGTATGGGGGCAGTGTGTGTATGGGGGGCAGTGTGTGTGAGGCAGTGTATGTATGGGGGGCAGTGTGTGTGTGAGGCAGTATGTATGGGGGGCAG